GCAAACAGCTTCACGCGCGGGCACTCTGACGTCGACATGGCCGATGATGATGACAGGACTTCTAGCTTTGTACCCATCCAAATGCACCGAAAGCATAGGATTGTTCTGAAATATAGGGTAGGCAAGGCATTGCATGGTCGACTTAAAGGGAGCGCATGTTGCCCCGGCTGCGCTTTATGGGCCTCCAGGAGCCCCAAAACGGTTTGTCTAGGGTCGATACATTGCAGATAGATCATAGGTGCTGGGCTGTCGGTCATAGGTGCACAGCAGCTGGATGGCTTTCAGACTGCCGGTCATGGGAACCCGGGAGGCGTGCTGTTGGTGCAGGGCAAACCAGGGGCTGTCGGGTGACCGGCGGAGATGGATGGGCCACCCCACCTCACCCATGTGTTGTGCACAACATCCAAACAATTATAAAAACCGCATACGACACAACACCTGCCACTGCCCATCCGGGATTCTGGGGGTGCCTCTCCCTAAGTTAAATTACTTAAGTGTTGATGGCTGGTTTGGCATGCCACGTGTTTGTGCGCCTCTTCTGGTTGTGTGTGTGATGACTCTCCTATAAATGTCCAGTCAAACAAACGGGGGAGCCACAGGCTAAATGACTTCAATACGACAGGGACCCTGGGGGATTCGTGTGGGTGTGAATGATGCATATGCTAATATCACTGAGGCCTCCGGCCCCATAAATCTGTGTGGCTGTTTTTTCCTTCGGGGGGTGAAGTAAGGGAGACATGGCGCTCCGTCTCCATCCTTCCTTCATTTCACCCTCCAACCCTCACTCCAGCCTCCCTCAATAATCCCTCCACAATACCATTTCCCACTCTTCCTCCAGCCTTCCTCCATCATCCCCCCCAGTTCCCTCAACGCTCCCTCCCAAGATCCTCCCTTCCCCTACCATGTGCCCTCCCTTCTTCCATCCTGTGCCTTCCCCTCTGCTGTCCCCTTCACTCCCTTGGGCTTCCCTCCCTCCGGTCTTTTACTGGAGTGAATGTGTGTGCCCCAGCATCCGTGTGCTCATGTGCCCACGTACAAATGTGTGTATGTATCATGGGTCAGTACAGGACACCTGGGAATTGATACCAGACCCACCCTAACGTGGGTGGCACCTCTGTACTGTTCCAATTCCCGGCCCGCCACGCAATGTTTTCCACCTTCCCCCTTTTGTTTTGCCATCCCCCGACTGGGGCCATGATGATGTTAGAAGGAATGCGTCGCCTAGGTTGAGGGGGCCCCCGTCATGCCCTGAAACACGCCCTCCTAACCATTCTGCCCCGCTGCGTTTTCCCCCTTTCCCCCCTCGTTTTGCCATCCCCCGACTGCAGCCATGGTGACATTCGGATGCATGCTACCATCGCGCGGGCACGGCTACCATCGCGCCCAATGGGCGCCACGGTGAACAGGCGGATGTGCGGCGCGGCTACCATCGCGCCCAATGGGCGCGACGGTCAACAGGCGGATGTGCGGCACGGCTACCATCGCGCCCAATGGGCGCGACGGTCAACAGGCGGATGTGCAGCACGGCTACCATCGCGCCCAATGGGCGCGACGGTCAACAGGCGGATGTGCAGCACAGCTACCATTGCGCCCAATGGGCGCGACGGTCAACAGGCGGATGTGTGGCGTGGCTACCATCCCGCCCAATGGGCGCGATGGTCAACAGGCGGATGTGCAGCGCGGCTACCATCGCGCCCAATGGGCGCGACGGTAAACAGGCGGACGTGTGAGGCGGCTACCATCACGCCCAATGGGTTCGACGGTAAACAGGCGGATGTGCGGCACGGCTACCATCGCGCCCAATGGGCGCGACGGTCAACAGGCGGACGTGTGAGGCGGCTACCATCACGCCCAATGGGCACGACGGTGAACAGGCAGATGTGCGGCACGGCTACCATCGCGCCCAATGGGCGCGACGGTGAACAGGCAGATGTGCGGCGCGGCTACCATCGCGCCCAATGGGCGTGATGGTCAACAGGCGGATGTGCAGCGCGGCTACCATCGCGCCCAATGGGCGCGACGGTGAACAGGCAGACGTGTGAGGCGGCTACCATCACGCCCAATGGGTGCGACGGTAAACAGGCGGATGTGCGGTGCGGCTACCATCGTGCCCAATGGGCGCGACGGTGAACAGGCGGATGTGCGGCACGGCTACCATCGCGCCCAATGGGCGCGACGGTCAACAGGCGGACGTGTGAGGCGGCTACCATCGCGCCCAATGGGCGCGACGGTGAACAGGCGGATGTGCAGCGCGGCTACCATCGCGCCCAATGGGCGTGATGGTCAACAGGCGGATGTGCAGCGCGGCTACCATCGCGCCCAATGGGCGCGACGGTGAACAGGCGGACGTGTGAGGCGGCTACCATCACGCCCAATGGGTGCGACGGTCAACAGGCGGACGTGTGAGGCGGCTACCATCGCGCCCAATGGGCGCAACGGTGA